GAGAGAGAGAAGAGAGAGAGAGAGAGAGAGAGATGAGAGATGAGGAGAGAGAGAGAGAGAGAGAGATGAGAGAAGGGAGAGAGAGATGAGAGATGAGAGAGAGATGAGAGAGAGAGAGAGAGAGAGAGCAGAGATGAGAGAGAGAGAGAAAGAAGAGAGAGAGAGAGAGAGAGAGGTGAAATCACTCGAGGTCACAAGGTCAGCTGATTGACACCTGGCAGAGCCATTTCGCAAAACAATACGACAGGAAACAATATTTTCCTGACGGCATTGGGTCAATATTATCCTCATTAATTTTATCATTATATTTCTAGTCATTAATATACTCATCATTATTCCTATCATTGTTGCTAATATTTAAAATTATCATTATTGCAGCAAATGATAAGTATAATAATGACAATATTGATAATGACCATAACAGTGATAATAATAGGACTTATATTATTTCATATGAATTATGATAATAATAATGCAAATGTATATAATAGTAATAATTTTAGTAAAATCATGAGAAATATTACAACCCCTATTGTAATTACTGATACAGTCAGTATCATTATTGTCATAATTACACTTATCGTTTGCTGTTGTTAATCATTTTTATATTACTATTATTGGTATCATAATCATCATTTATCATTTTTGTCATCATTATCACTGTTATTATCATCATTGTTATTATTGATATTTTTTATATCATAATTTTTAGTATTATATGTTTTATTATTAGTATTATTATTTGTATCTTTCTTATCATTATTACTACTGTTATTAAAATGGAAATCATTATTAATAGTATCATTTATATATATTTTTCATCATCATTATTATCATTGTCATCATTCATATTAGTCATTATGAATTTCATTGTATTATCATCATTATTATTTCTATCATAATTATTATTATCATTGGTATCTGTATTATCTTTATCCCAATGATTATTGCTATCATTACTTGTAATTTTCATTTTTATTATCAGCATAATTATGATCATTATTATTTCACATTAATATCATGAGGGTTGTCATTATCATTATGATGACTTAAATTATTATGTTTAAATTATTATTATTATTAGTGTCATCATTTTCATTATTAACCCATTCACGTTGGTATATTTTGAAGCAGAAAATAAAAGATTCTGGGCGGCTACAAAACCGGCGGGTGGACAGACTCCAGGGCCTGCTGCCGCGTTGGAGTGTGAGTCTGATACAGCATCATACTGGCAGAACGCCCGGCAATGTTTATTTTTTTGGGTGTGTCATATATGGGAGACCCGTTGTTAATGGGTTAAGATATGATATTCATTGAACTTGTAATTTCTATTCTAAGATTTTATTTACTAATCTATTTTTTGTTCTTATTCTTATGTCACCTTATTTATTCTGTTGCTATAATACTTACATTGACACTGAGGACTTTAACTTTTTTGGATAGTGTCTTATACGTAATAAAATTCAAATTTGAAAATATTATCATCATAGTTATTGTTACAATCAAAGTTAGAATTTGTTTTTAAATATGACTAGAATAACTAATTTGAATATCCTTCTTACAGGAGACTACGTAGAGAGGAGAAGCCTAAGTTCCTTAACTCTGCCATCGCCTCTCCCATCCAGTCAAGCCAGGGCTCCCTTGAGCGAGGAGCACATGCAGACACTCGGCTCCTGGAAGTTTGGCCGCGCAAAGTGTTTGGAGCCATAAGGTAAGGTCATGGAAGAACGAGTTTAGCTGTTTCATATTAATTTGCTTATGGCTATGGGTAAATATGCAGTTATGGAATTATGTATGTATTCGTATATAGAATTATATATTATATATTATTATAGAATTATATATATATTACTTTATAGAATTATATATTATATATTATTATAGAATTATATATTATATATTACTATATAGTATTATATATAATATATAAATCTATATTATTATATAGAATTATATGTTATATACATTATTACGTATGCATGTGTTTAAACGCATCATTTTTCGTAGCCGATCTTATTTCATGTCTTACCATTTTGCTAAGTACTTTGTTGCATCGATGTTTCCTCATTTGTAGGCCTTTTGTCTTGCCAGGATAAGGTCTTGGATCCATCCAGTTGGCGACCCATGCTCAATTCTAATTTTAAGGTGCTGTCACACTAGCACTTTTTCCGTCAATTTATTGACAATTTTCTGAAATTTTGTCTATTTTTGAGCGAATTGTCGATTCTCCAGTCAGATGATAATGATCGTTTCCGTCTGAAAACCTTTCCGTCAACTTTTTCAGCCAAGCAAATTCAAATCAGGAGCTATATTTGAGAATGTTTGTATTTATGTTAAATAAAATTGTCAAAAAAATGACGGAAAAAGTGCTAGTGTGACACGGCCTATAGTGCATGTTCTTTTTAAGGGGAAACAGTTGTTCACTTGATATTAGACTTATTTATAGAATAGCAGGCATTTAGGATTTGGATTGGGGGGTTGAGAATGTCGGCCTAGTCTTGGTGTGTAACCTTGATCCGAACTTGCAAATTTTAGAATCTGGGAATCAGCGCATGAGTTTTGTTTCCTTGTATTTATTATTATTATTTTTTTATTTATTTATTTATTTATTATTATTATTATTATTATTATTATTATTATTATTATTATTATTATTATTATTTTTGTAGCCAGCAACACACGATCAGTATTGCTTAAAGGGGGACGGGCTGATGGATTTTACAGTATTGAATGAGATTGCAACTTTGATACTAATGCCACCATCTTTTCTGCCCTCACAAATTTTGTTGTATGAGAGGTATCATCTTTGAACCATGTTTCTGTGATTAATGCAGTGTCAAAAGTATTTTGTTTCATTATGGTGTCGAGCTTGTTCAATTTGTTGGTGAGGCAGCATGCATTTGTGAGGTAAATGCTAGGAAGTGTTTGGTGAGGTCTTTTATTAGCATGTGTTATTGTTGATGATTTTCTTTGGCAAAACATCCTGCTCTGGTTGTGAGGATTTGTACTTGTTTCTGTTTCAAGTGCCTTGCCCTCAAGTGAAGTAGTGAAGCTAGAGTGATATGAAAGAGTCATTTTCGTATTGAATGCATTCGCATCTTCTGGTGATAACGTCAGGTTTAGGTAGTGCTGGGATAGTAGTTTCATTACCAGGGTAGGGTAGCATGGGGCTGGTGTCCACGAATGGTTCAGTTGGGGAGATGGGAAAGTGTGGTCGGGTGCGGGAGTAACGGAAGGGAATAGGAGAGCAGAGGGGAAAAGGGTGGTAGCAGGATATGTCTGGGGAGGTTGCATTGTGGGGAGAAATCTGGTAGGGAGGGGGGGGGATAGACAAGATGTGTCAGACACAGAACTGAGGTTGTCAGACCGACTGGACTTCCATGTTGTTGACCGCCATGGCATGCCTTCCTCATTGTAGAAGAGGTTGTTGAGGGTTGCCTGTTGCTTCTAAACATTTTCACTACCATGTCTACTTTGTTTTGAAGCACAAAGTAAGTCACTGGATGTAGGATCGGCTGGCACTGTCTGTGCTTGTGTTGCCTCACCTTTCAATTTGGTGAAAAACTATAAAAGACATGAGATTCCTAGCTTTTTCATGGATGGAATATTGTCATTTGGGGTACCTCTGTTGTTAATGTGAAGATGGTGTTTTTATTGCCCACCACGTCTTCTAGCATGTTATTCACTGTTACGTTGATCATTCTTTTCCTGTCACGAGTTGTGAGTCTGGGTCGTTTTGCATCGGATAGTTTGATTACAATATTTTGCAATGTCCTTGGAAGTGTAATGTTCTTTAAGTTGTTCACAAAATAACATCTTACCCCATAACTTTTTGGTCGCAATGAAGCACAAAATTGTGTTCAGAACGACTGTTATGCAGCCAGGATTGTAAATTTGATTGTGTCACTGTCACCACTATCTACACTGATTTTGCTGCTTATACTATTTGCTTGTTTTCATGTTAGACTCCTCATCTGGCAAACCCCACCCTTACCCTAAGGGGGAAGGGCCCAGTGCCTCGGGCACAGGGACACGCAAATCCCTGGTTGCTACAGAGCCCATTACCGTGGGCAGGGGGGCAGTCATGTCCTGGACTATAGTGGGGCCCACTTCCTTGGGCAGAGGTCCAGCCATGGTCCTGGGCAAGGGGCTTGTTACTCTGGGCCGAGGATCCTCTGCTCCCCGAGAGAGTGCAAGTGAAACCTCCTGGATGATCCCTTTCTGCCCAGGGGCGGCAGCTGGGTTTCCTTCTTGATGGCCATGGTGTAAGTTGGTGCTTTGACTGCAGAGCAAACACAAGATAGGTCTGAACACCAGAGCATCTGAACAGGAATTGTATATATATATA